GCTAAGAACTTCCACTTCCACCTGCAGATAGATAATTTGGTGGACACACTTAATCAAGCTCCTGTGCTATATTTAACTCAATAGATAGTTCCACGGCTGAAAATTATTCAGTTAATGAGAAATAAAGAAACAAACCTGATAGCAAAACAGGCTATCAAGTCACAAAACAATATGCCTTTGGCAGTAAGTTTAACATCATCACAAATCACACAGCAGTTCAGTCCCTTCAAATAATAGAGGACAGAAATATGGTGTAATGCAACCCTATATTTTTATGGTCCAATGGGTTTCTGTCAAGGGCAGTCTTTGACACGGAGGGTTGGCTGGGCAGGAGGATACTGAAGCTGCAGCACTCCACACTAACAGCTCACAGCTTTTACAGCCTGCCTGGCCTGTGCTTCAGGTCACTCCATTTTGAGGTGTGACTAGAAAAAACACTCGGGGGACAACAACTGTATTGAAGATGACCCTTTGGGGTCAGTATAGTACATTTTCTTTGAACTACTTCTCTACAAGCTATGTATGTTCTGACTACAGTGGAGCTCCCACAGAGGGTCAGAGCTGAGTGAAAAGACCTTTGCTCCGATTTTTCAAGAGTTGTCCTCTTTCCCCAGATTTTGCCTGCAAGTGCCACAGTCTCTCACAGGCAGACAAATATGGGCAAAAAAGTGCAAGAGCAATTTAAGGATCCTTCACATCCCACGTGGAGATGTTTATTTCCTAGTTCTTTTGACTCTCCAGAGAGAAGCCTGCTGTTCATTTACATGGGAAAGAACAATGAAAAGGAACATACAGTGATAGACTTCGGTTACCAAACATGGGATGGTGTGTTAACTTCTCTTTTACATTCCTAAGATTCAATTAAAAAAAAAAAAAAAGTCTGTCTGCATAAAACCTAGAAAAGTTATTTCTGAGTAACACACAACCTACTTTTAGTATATTGCTCAAGAATAGTTCCAGCTGTAAAAGTACCATCACACTAATAATTAAAAAAAAATATTTTAGAAAAGAAATGTTGTCTCCTGAGATTCTCAAAGATAAGGGTAAATTTAAACAATTGTAGCTATAAATCTAGACATTTCCTATCTCTCTGAAAGGCATTATTGCATCCTAGGGAAATGTGTATACTAAGTACATTTCAAAGTAATTGAGTAGTGTTAGGTTCCACTAACAATCTTATAGGTGCATTTTAGTGCTTAATGTTAATGATGAAATACATGAATTTTTTTCTGGCACATTAAATATTTCGGTATGAAATAGTTTCCTATATTTTTGTGCCACATTCACAACAATAGCACATTAAAAAGCTCTTGTATACAGTTATCACTGGATTAAACATTGTGAATTTTTAGATTTTGCCACTATATGGCTAAGTTACCCAATTCACCATGCTTCAGAACAAAACAAAAAGAAACTGCATTCAGTGTAGAGTCTTCAGAGTTAACAGGGTGATTTGATATGAATGCCTTGCCTGCTTCCTGCAGTAGAAGCAGCAACAGCTGTTAGCACTCTTAGTCCCGGCTTGGCCTCCTCTCCAACACCACACCTCAAATGCCATCCACTTCCAGAAGGACATTTCTGTTTCTCTTTAAATGGTGACACACGCCACTTGCCTCAGTGGGTCAAAAGAAACCTCAGAGGTTTTGCCAACAGCATCAGCTCTTGTCAAAACGTTGGGTACCTCTACCAGTCTCTTAGACCTCAGACAATTCAGAAAATAAACTGGGTACAGAGACTGAATTACCCTCTCTTACGATGAGACACACCTATTTCAGCATGTGGTTCAGATATATTGCTTGGCTACTATGACAAAAACTATTGCAGCAAGCACAACTGTACCTCTCCTGGAGAGAGGAAAAAATTCAGAACAAACAAAAAAACTCTGTGGATTTTAAGGGACCTGGAGCACTCCTTTAGAAATTTTCAGCCAAAATGACTAAAGGAAATGAAAAGGGACAAGTGGGATCTCCCTCCAGTGCTCCATGCACCCTTCACATGTTTTCCACGCAATGATAAACCACTTATTTAAAAAAATGCCATAGCAAAAAAGTGTTCCACTAAGAGCTAACAGACTCAGAACAACTGCACATGGTTTCTCACATGAAATGGTGAATATAGAATATTAGCTAGTATTATTGAGGGCTTGTAAAGCAAAATGCAGGAAATGGCATATCCTACTTTTGCTCTTGATAACAGAAAAAAAAAAAATTGTCATACTTACTGCAAAATACCAGAAAGAAAAATGGAACCAGAAAGGGAAGGAGAAAATAAATAAATAAATACAACATCATTAAATTTAGTTTGAATCATGTGGCAAAGAAATACATTTAAGCAGAACTAGAATAATGTAATAATAAGGATGCACCTCTTGTTAAAATACAAGCAGGGCTGAAAATCACTTTGAATAGTAGCCTTGTGATGAGAAGCTTAAGGCAACTGCTTCCTGGAATATTTTCCACTTGATGTGGCTGAACAAATATTGGGGAATTAACTGAGGAAAGATAAATCTGTAGATATTTGCAAGTCTGCAATTGTCACTGTGGTTGGCCTAAAGACTTACAGGAGCATGAGATGGTTTGCTTTTTGTGCTTGGCAAAAGAAAACAATTCTCACTGGCTTAGTACACATCTCCTCATCAACAGACATCCGCTGAGAGCAGATATCCATTACACGGCACTGGACTTCTCATTCTATACTATTGTCTGAATTCAACCTAGAGACTTCACCTCCCTCAGCAACTGCCTGCTTGACCAGCTAGGTCTATCTAGACTTGCAGAACAGCACACACATCAAACCACCTGTTCCCACTTCAGCTAGAAGGTCTTCATACATGGAGGATAAATAGAGGAGCAAAGAAAGAACAGAGAGCTTCTCCCAACATACACTTTAGCTCAAACCAGAGAATTGGCTGCCTTGAATAGCTTCTCCTAGTTATGCAAGACTTACAAAGCATGGAAAAGCTGAAGTGAGAAGCAAGCAGTCACTACTTCAATAAATTTAGTGGATTTCCAACCATTTCTGTCAGCACGTGGAGCAGCAATAGCGCTAAATATAGAGAGATAAGTATCTCCCTATATTTGTCTGCTACCTACCAAAGTAAGATTTGTCTCTTAGTCACGGCCTGCTGAAAGGACAGAGAAACTATTGCTGCTTCTAGTACTCTTCCCTCCACTGGGAAATGAAAGGAAGCAATCAGAAACCTCTGATAACCTAATGCAAGGCCGACAAAGGCAAAGAACAAATTTCTCTCACAAATTTCTCTCACCTTGGCAAGAGGGGTCCATTTGCTTCCAGGAAACATCTGTAGAAACTTTACTTACAAAAATCCTCAGGCCAGAAAAAACAGCATATAGAAAATCACCATAATGGCACTATACCTATCAGAAAAAGTTATGTGGCTTGGCTGTTCTTAATGTAAGAGGTCTGACTGAGATCTGTCTAGTCATAAGTAGAGGTTCAGAGCAGTTTAGTACTCTGAACAAGAGACTAGATCAGAACATGTGGATTTTGAGCTTTGTATAAAGGATTCTGTACCGGCATTTCCCAACAGAAGTCAATGCATCTGTTTCAAAAAAAAAAAAGAAAACATGTCAACAATTGAAGGTATCCAGTGTAGACAACTGCCTAAATGTAAAAGCCTCTCCCTGCATTCTTTGTGTCTTACATAATAACTCTGAGCCTTTAAAAATGGTAAGCCAAGCATGCAAGTCCCCCTCTGAGAGGTCAGCTCTGGTAGTCTCTCCCGCATATGTTTTTAGCATGCACCACTCAATTTGTAAAAAGTGGGGATATGCCATGATGATTTCAAGGAGAAGAATATATTCAGTCATTTCAGGAGTTATAAGGGACAAGTGTTTCCAGGCACTTTCATTATAATATAATCGTCTTTCTACAGTACGAAAAAAAAGGTGACTGAAAAAGAGTTGGCTAAAATGATGTCCACTTATTAGCAAAAGGACAGAATGGTATTTGAATCAAGACTAAAATAAACCTGACATTCAACAATCTTACCCTTGAAAAGACAAAATATTACAAAAGATTATATTTCATTGATCTTTTAAAACTCAAATTTACAAACCTGCTCCTGACTCAAAGTAAATTTACAACTCATGATTCTAGACAAACAGAGGTACAAAACTGTGCTGTTGGATGACAGATACTGAAGTTTTAGACCACAATTTGTTATTCCACACTTAATTATTAACACTTAAACAGCAATGAGAAGAAATGTCAAATGCTATGAAAAGCATAATTTATTTCTCCTGACAGGTATTAATTGGCCTGTATTAATGACTTTTGGAACTATTACTAATGAGGAAAAATAGCCATTCCAGCATGTCAGCAATATCTGTAGTGAGGGGACAGTCTTCTAGCCATTAAAAAAAAATTGGGGGAGGGGGAATATCACACCGTAAGATAAGAAAAGCAATTTCTCAAAGAGGATGTTTATAACTAAATTTCTAAATTGCTGCCACAGCACAGTGGGGGAGAAATTCTGAAAGCGCCTCCAGCAGCTCTGCTCAGCAGACTCTCAGCAGCTATCAGCTAACTGGAGTTCGTGTTTGTGTTGTTCCCCCAGGGTCTAGTCATTTTGTTATACAGAACCAGGCAGCTAACCAGGGATCCTCAGGGAGAGCGAGGTGTCCTTTGAGCAAACTAGCTCCTTTTCATCAGTTTTTTGCAGGGCAGAACAGTGGGAGAATGGTCAAAATATGTTTTCTATTATGCTTTTATGAAAAGCATAAAGATAGGGCCGTACTAGTTTAACTTCCAAGGTATACTAAGTATCAGACAGTCTCCTGTGGTATGTAAATGAAGCCAGGAATGTAGCAGTTATGCACAGGTACATTTCCTAAGCAGAAAGAACTTTTGTAAATTCAGTTACCCAGAGTAAACAGACAATTCAAGAACTATACAAGCATATTATTCCACTGTTTCACTGTTTTAAGCGAAGATCAAAAGCCACTATAGCAAATGATAGCGTTTATCTCAGTACTGACCATTATCTTGAAGGATTCCTGTGGAAGCTGTTACTCTTACTGTCTGTTTTACTTTTGTAGAGTTTTTAGAAAAGTGTCGTCTGGACACAGAATCCTCTGGATTCTGGCTTTTTTTGTCCTTCCCTTTGGGAGGCTGAGGTGAGGAACTGTTTTCTCCCGGGTCACTAGATCCAACGGTAGATTTAGATTGTCGATCATTTCCCTGAAAAGAAGTGTATGCAATTATCACTGATGAAAATGACAAAGTTTATTTTTTTAATTTCAGTATTATTTCAACCTTTTAATACTAAAGATTGGTATCAGGTGTTAAAGAAGCGTATTAATTTACAGTCAGTACAGTTAAGTCATATCTTAAACTATACAGAAAACTGTAACTATTTCATCAACCTACTATATGATCTGACAGATTAAATGTTCCTCAACAACTCCCAGAGGAAAATAATACATTTATTATAAGGAAATGATGCTTCATTTGATGAAAAGAATGGCTAGGTGAAACTATACATGCATGCATATGATATACAGCTACATCTCATCTATGTATATGTGTGGAAAGTCACAAGATGTAATATGTAACTTGTGAATAATTCATTGCCTGTGTAAATGAGACATGGGCATTAATCTGCTAAGTGTCAAAAGCAGCTGGGAGGATGACAGTCTTCGTGTGGCAGTAACACTGACCGCCAAGTGGACCGTAAGGAAGGGGTCTGCCACACATCACCTCTGAATCACCTCCAAGGACGTCAGCCAGTTCCTCTGCTTGCTCTGTGGTGTATCTAGAAACAGAACCAGGAACCTGGTCCTTATTTTTACAGCTTTGATGTATGTATGATCCTGAGAGTACTAGCCAGAGATTTTATTATTTATAGAATTTTTTCTTCAGTCTAAATCTGTTCACAATCAACATTGTAAAAACCTGAACTGTACATAGCAGCCCTTTAGGGTGCTGTTTATATCGTTCTAGGCTGTGTAAAGACTTTACCAACTGAACACCCTCATTGTTGCCTCTCATTATAGGCTGTCAGCCTCCTACTTTTGCCAGCCTAACAGTATGTGTAGTTCCTTCCAAATCCAATTCTGTCAAAACACACCATATAACAACAAAACACTCAAGCAGATAGGGCAGAAAACCTTATCAGTATCTGGAACTGTTCACTTTATCACAGACTTAGCTAAATCACAGAAGATAAATATATTCTACTTCATTGTTTCACTTAGTGTAGCTGCATGAAAAATTCATGCCATTTTAGAACCTGCCGACCAGAAAGGCCTTTCATTCTGCAATGGTCATGGACAATTCTTTTCATCTCACTGCTAAAGTTAAAAGGTAATACTATATAAAATTAAAATCTTTCAGAAAAATAAGTCCTGAACAAAATCCCACATCTCTTTAAAATATCCTGCATATATTATTATATTTTTATGTAATTCTTCTAGTTTTCACATAATGAGTAGAAATCAGTTCTGTTTAAAATATCTTACTTAAATACCATCTAGCTTTTACCATCTAATCTACCATTTATCTACCAGTACC